ACGCCTAATTTAGATAAATTTCATACATTATGGTGGATGAAAACTTGAAAGGAAGGTCATTTCCAGCCTATGATAATTGCTAAGAGACTAAGTCAATTTACACAAACACAACAATACATTAACCTATACCATTGTCATAAATTTTTGTTAGATGAATACTTCTATACTAATCGTAAGATAATTGTCTTAGTTGCATGTATTTTTGTTAAGGGTCAACTATAACTACGTGTTGATTGTTATGTTTTATTCATTATATAAATTGCGAATTGTTGCATTAACCGAAAAATTTTCATCATCAATGATAATGTGATTTTATATTTGTTAATCTGGTTAACCAATTAACCAAACCGATTAAACTTTAGTTTGGTTAATTTGGTTGTTGTATTAATTTGGACGGTTTGGTTATGATATTGTATTCCATGGTTAATGAAATTTAGCCTTATTTGATTTGGTTATAACCATGGTAACCATTTCAACACCGCTCGATTTTATGCTCAGATCATGTGAATGAATTACTTGTAGTTTGTTAGTAACTCTTATAAGTTACTCACTTGATCTGGACCCAGGAACTAACGGTGTCGGTGGGTTCATCTGTCCTCCTCGGCCAAGCTTTTGTTGCCAGACATGGCAATGCCCAAGCTGATTTATTCCCAACTCCGCCGCACCCGTACCCTCTCCGGTTTCCCCTCTCTGTCACCGGCGGGCGTCTATCGCCTCGTTACCGGCGTCAACTCCGATGGCAACTCCACCCCTTCTCGACCTCCAATCCATCCCTACCGTAGCCCTCGCGCATTTCGGGCTCCGAATTCACTCTACGTTGGTCGACATCTTCATCAACGGGCCTTATCCACCCTACCAGACGAGAGCTCCCCGTTCATAGACGATCCTATAGCTGGTTTGACTTCGGACCCTGAGCTTGCTGGTTCTGGACTGGATGCTGAAGTTGCAAAAGGAGTAGTAACTGATGTCGTCAGCAGTGGAGAAGAGTCGATTCTCCCCGTCCGAGCGCTGATTTCACTGCTCGATGGGTACCACGACGTCACTGGTTTGCCTTGGTGAGTGATCAGCTCGTAGGGTTTTAATTGAGTAGGAAATCAAAAGAGCTCAATTGATTTCATAATGAGCCTTACAAAGAGTAGAATTGCTTCTGTCGTCGGTTTGAGGAATTGAAGAATGTTTCAGGTGGATTGTTATTGCATCGGGCACTCTGGTTATGAGAATGGCGCTATTCCCTTTACTCGTCCTGCAACTTAAGAAGCTGAAAACTATCTCTGAATTCTTTCCCAAATGTGAGTTTTTGTTTGAAACGGTTGTTCCTTCATTTTCTGCAATGCTTTCTGGGTGATTTTGGAATGCAGCCAATGATTCACGTTGTTATGAATTTAGTTTTTTCCCCGTGTGTTTAACCTGTCAATGATTGTGGACGACTAACAGTTACTTGTGCTTTCTAGTGCCACCTCCTATCCCGCCACCTCTATCCGGAAGGACTTTCACTGACCAAATTTCTCTGTTCCGAAGAGAAAGGAAAGCTGTTGGTTGTCCATCGTATTTGTGGTTTCTTGCCTCCGTCTCCGTTCAGGTAGTGATGAGTACTGACCCGTGTCGATTAACTGCTTTGGTTTGAAAGATGATACTTAGTGGTCATTTACGATGTGCCTGTTTTTGGCATTGGTACATTTGATAATGTGCGTATAGAGACTAGATTGTTATGCAGCCATAGATTTATTTCACTTAGACAGGAGGACGGTTGTTATTAGTTATCGAAATGCACACAAAAGGTTTAGTTGAATTAGTCATCGTCAGTTGGATGAAACATAACTTATATTAGTTATCGTGAACACAGGATCAATACATGCAGCATTGTAGGAAAATCTTTGGATAAACCATTAATGATGTGTTTAAATAACTTGTAATCAGACTACGGATGGCGTATTCAAGAGAGCTGCATTTATCACACCTGGACCCCTTTGTGAACCTCTATGGATTATCTTCGTGGGCAATAACTTTGTGCTCATATTACCATCGTTGGTGATAAAAGCTCATCGCTAGGCCACAAGAATCCTATCTCAACTTGATTCAGGTGGGGTTCTCTAATCGAAATCAAATAGCATAGAGACAAAATCAAAAGAATTTTGACTCCATTCCATAGTTTGACAACTAGGTTAGGACTTCAAAGTTTGTTTAATTTTAAAATAGCATTAGGCTCCCTATTAGAAAGTGGGAAGTTCTTAGCATTGGTATCACTGCAGAAGATATCAGAGACCTACTCTATGCTCATCATGTATGTGCTTTGCATTGTGACTTGCTTCAAGCTATTAGCATGAAGTAGGTTGACTCTAGTGAGACCATGCTTGAGAGCATTGGATTTAGTATTAAGTGGTGGTATTTCGACAACGCTAGTGGATAAGGTGTAAGGTTTCTTAAGTATCAGTTGGATTGATAGCTAGACAGAAGTTCCATGAGACAACTACTTAATGCATATTGGGAAACAGGTTTTGAAATGTGATGCATAATTGTTTTGAGTAAACTTAAAGTAGCGTTAGGTGCATTAAGTAAAATATAAGCCTCATATTTGGCTTTTTGGTTACATTCACATACTGTATTGAGTAGACGTGTTTTGCATTTTCATTTGCTGTAGGATGAGGATGTCTGACCTGTATTTTCCAAATTATTTCAGGTTCCATGTTTTCTCTTGGCAGTAACCAGTATTAGGAGAATGTCTCTTGATCATCACCCCGGGTTTGAATGTGTAAGAACTGTTTTTTTTATAACTTTTTTTGTACATTCTTTCCGCTTGTTGTATCGTGGTAATCCTAAATGTTGGATATTTTGGGTATGCTGAAGCAACTGTAGAGGAGATATAGTGGCAAAGGGTGAATGAGAAATTGAGAATGTCCAACTCACCTAAGTCAATTACTCGGCACCAAAAATATCAAGTACAAAAAGAAATATACATCTTTTGTTAATGTAAAACAGGAGGACTTTGATTACTTTTTTCCGAACTTTGCCATTAACTGCATAGAGAAGCTCTGCTCCATCACTGCAGTTATTTATGTATTGTCTCCTTCCCGGCTTCTCCAGAAGACAGATCCTTGGGGTCCTGCACTTCTGAAACGGTCATTTGAGACATCTTATTGGACAATTGCCTTCTTGGTGGGATATATGATCTTAATTTTGGCTGCCATGGATTGCTAGCGTTCCACTTTCACAATACATCTTTTTTGTGTTCTGACATGTGGGGTTTTAGCAAACCATTACTATGAGTTGTCTAGCCACTGGATCTTCCAGCCATTTTTCATCACTTATATGGGTCCGAGAGTGTTTATGAGGTATTCAATGTACTTAGTACTTAGTAACTAGCAGTTCTAATTTCTCTAGGTCATGGGGTGTATCATTACTTAATTAATTTTGCTTAGATGGTATAGACATAATTGCAGCTAAGTTTATGTACTCACTACTCACTGCCGATTGTTCACTCTCTTTTGTTCAAGATTCTTACTCTAGTAAAATTCATGTGTTATTGAACAGGGTGGCGCTTTATGGTTCCAGAACTTGACTGAATTTTCTCACGGTCCTTTTGGCTCTATATTCCCGATATTGATTTCGGGCCTGCACTTTCTTAATGTTCAGGTAGTTGGCTATATATCCTTTACAGGTGTGCTGTTTAGCTGTTTCTTTGAACTCCTAACATCTGTGACTTCACTTCTCCATGATGGACTTACATTTCCTTCTTTTTAAGTCTTGGATATGCAGGTTTTCTTGTGAGATCTTGCTAATTATTCATCTGTAGCAAATATGCATTGATGTTGATTGAAAAGACTTTTTTCTTCTAATATTTCAGCTGGCTTTTGATAATTCGTCATTACAAAAAATGAGCGGAACATTGGGATTGCTAGCGAAGGTGAGCAGATAGAGTATTCTGCATGTTTTATTTTTATGATTATGTGTTCCGTTTCTGGTGAACTAATAATTCATGCTTATACAGCATTCTTAGTTGTCTCACAAAAGTGTTTTTATGTTGACTATGGCAGCATTACAAGCACTACTTGGATTTTCTTGTATTGCCTTTGCTTTACATTGGTTACTGCATACCTCAGGTAACTCCATACATACTGTTGCTCGTACCTTGAACTGCGTCCATAATTTGTCCAATTCAAATTACATTCCATTTCTTGCTTCAATAATCTTAGGACCCAGTGATAATGTGATATCTTCTGCTTTACTATGCTATTGATTTTAGCTTTCGTTTCTCTTTTTAATTTTTTATTATACAGTTGAACAATTTGTTTTAAGGTTTACAATGTTGCGGACCAAACTTATATGAGATGGATTCAATCTATAGGCAAAAATAAGCATGCATATTATCATATTATGTATCATCAATCTCTTTGGGCTCATACCTGCTATTTTCTCTTGGATCGCATCAAATTTATGCCCATACATATAGTTACTGAGTTAGTCTTTCTCTGTGTAATCTGTCTGATCTACTCTGCTGGAATTATTTACAAAATTTACTGTAATAAATGCGTCCCAGCATTTCTCTTCTTTATGTCTGTTTCATTGTGTTAATATCATTGAGCCGAAAGCACATAGTCATTTTTAGAATAGTGACTATAGTTTGTCAGTCTCTATGTATGAGAATGTGAGTGATGCTAGGGAGGTGTTTCTTTGAAGTATAGTTGAGTCTATTCATGCACAAATAGTTACCTTTTTAATTGATGCTGTGCTAGTATTACATCTGGAACTGCTTATAACTTTTTTTCCATGTCTTCTTACACTGGTGACCTGATTATTAATTCTGCATATCAATCCTTTTTTCAGGGAAGCCTGGTCTACTGGGTCACTAATAGTTCACTGAGCGTTGTCCAGGTTGGTGAAGTGGAAACTGTGGATAATCAAACTTGGTATGAGAGGACTGTGCACTTCGATTAGCAGGATATGCATAATTGTTGGAATGTCTTAGGTGTACGAGCTGGGAATTTCTGTGTGATTTCATTGATGAATCAATAGCCAATTTATACAGTATAGTTACAAGATCAATAGTGCTAGTAGTGGGAGCAATATTAGGAACAGAATAACAGAAGGTTGTTGAGTGGAGATAATGGAGGAAGTGGCATTAGACCCGGGGTTAGCGGACGAAGTGGAAGTCTATTTCCATGTGTTTGCCGCGCGCGAAAGACGGGGTTGGCGGTGAGGTATGTTGCACCTAGATTATCACACCTTAGCTTGGGAGACCGGGTCTAATGCCACTTCCTCCATTATCTCCACTCAACAACCTTCTGTTATTCTGTTCCTAATATTGCTCCCACTACTAGCACTACTGATCTTGTAATTATACTGTATAAATTGGCCATTGATTCATCAATGAAATCACACAGAAATTCCCAGCTCGTACATGGTATCAGAGTCGAACAGCCTAACGGCAAATTGAGTCTTTTTTTTTCCCCACCCCCTTTCCTCCCTAATTCTTCTTTACTTCTCCCTCATCATGTCGACTTCCTCCTCTTCTGATGCCACAGGCCCTATTCCCGCCTCGCCGCCACAACTCCCCTCTCCCCTTTCAATCCTCTCTCAACCCCTCACATCGCCACCAAACTCACATCTACGAACTATCTCCTATGGCAGATGCAACTTCTTCCCCTTCTTACAAGCTTTGATCTTTCAAAGTTTGTTGACGGCAGCTTCCCCGCACCGCCTCGTACTCTCGCTGGCGGCCAATCGAACCCTGACTACATTGCTTGGCGCCGTCTTGATCAACTAGTTTTTTCTTGGATCGCCGGCTCTCTCTCCGACTCTGTCCTCTCTCGGCTGGTCGGCTGTTCCACGGCGCTTGAGGCCTGGACGCGTCTCGCCTCCACCTACGGCTTCGGCAACTGACAAACGTTATGTGGCCTGCGCACCCAGCTCAGCGAGCTTTCTCGTGGTGTGGAGTCTTGTGCTCCATACTCGTGCACAAGACCTAGCTGACCGCCTTGCTGCCCTGAATAACCCGATCTCCGACGATGAATTGGTTGATCGTTGCCTTCGTGGCCTCGGCGACGAGTTCCTGCCATTAGTTCGCACCATTGAAACCAAGCTGGAGCCTCTCTCCTTTGCTGATTTTCACGGGCTCCTTCTAAACGAAGAACATCGGCTCCGCCGCCGTAGTCCTATTTCTGAAGGTAGTACCGCCCAAGCAAACTATGGTCGCTATGGCGGGCGTGGTGGCACCCACCTCTATGGCAACACTACAACCATGACACAAATGAACCTCATGTTTATTGGAGACAGGCAGAGAATGACGTTGGAGGACTTGGCGAAGAACACGGGAGTGAGGGTGACCAAGACGTTGATGCCATTGGGAGAGGGTGGAATGAAACGCACGAGGAGCCACTTGGGAGAGAATAGAGAGTGGCACCGAGTACAACCCATCTTTACTGCGACCATGATGAAGGATTTTCTGCGAGCGAGAGTCCTTGATGATGAAGGAATCATTAACAAAATGAATAGATAAGGGATTAGTACGTGTGAGAGAGTTGATAGAAAGCAGATTGTGAGAGGCAGAAGGAACATGAAGAATATTGTTAAGATGAAAAGGGTGACTATTAAGTGAGACAAGGGACGAACCAGAATGGGAGATGGGAAGAGAATTACCATTGCCAAAGGATACCTTGTCGTGCCCATTATATTCGGAGTGAAGAGCGAGATTGTTGAGATCAGAGGTGATGTGATAGTTTGTACCAGAATCCATTATCCAATCTTGGGAGGTTGAGGAGGAGGCATAATTGGTCGAGGGTGGAAAGCGAGACGTGAGGGAGGGTTTGGGACAGTGTTTGGCTAGATGGCCTTAGCCATGGCAGGTGTAACATTGGAGCGTGCTGCTGTTCGGATTTGGCGGGTGGTGATTGGGCCTGGGCCCAAGTAGACCTGCTCAGTGGCTTGGTCCTGCAAAAGAAGAGGGGAAAACAGAGGGGTAAGAGGGGCGGCCACCGCCGCTGTATCTCGATCCACGGCCGCGTCCGAGAAGGCGACCACGCCCACGGCCGCCATAGAGGTGGGTGCCGCCACGCCCGCCATAGCGGCCATAGTTTGCTTGGGCGAGACCATCGTCAGAAATAGGACTACGGCGGCGGAGCCGATGTTCTTCGTTGAGAAGGAGCCCGTGAAAATCAACAAAGGAGAGAGGCTCCAGCTTGGTTTCAATGGTGCGAACAAATGGCAGGAACTCGTCGCCGAGGCCACGAAGGCAACGATCAACCAATTCATCGTCGGAGATCGGGTTATTCAGGGCAGCAAGGCGGTCAGCTAGGTCTTGTGCACTAGCAAGGTATGGAGCACAAGACTCCGTACCACGAGAAAGCTCGTTGAGTTAGGTGCGCAGGCCGCGTAACGTTTGTCGGTTGTCGGAGCCGTAGGTGGAGGCGAGACGCGTCCAGGCCTCAAGCGCCGTGGAACAGTCGACCAGTCGAGAGAGGACAGAGACGGAGAGAGAGCCAGCGATCCAAGAAAAAACTAGTTGATCAAGACGGGGCCAAGCAATGTAGTCACGGTTCGATTGGCCGCCAGCGAGAGTACGAGGCGGTGCGGGGAAGCTGCCGTCAACAAACTTTGAAAGATCAAAGCTTGTAAGAAGGGGAAGAAGTTGCATCTGGCATAGGAGATAGTTCGTAGATGTGAGTTTGGTGGCGATGTGAGGGGCCGAGGGAGGGTGGAAGGGGGAGTTGTGGCGGCGGGAATAGGGCATGTGGCATCATAAGAGGAGGAGGAAGTCGACATGATGAGGGAGAAGTAAAGAAGAATCAGGGAGGAAAGGGGGTGGGAAAAAAAAAGAAGACTCAATTTGTCGTTAGACTATTCGGCTCTGATACCATGTACGAGCTGGAAATTTCTGTGTGATTTCATTGATGAATCAATGGCCAATTTATACAGTATAGTTACAAGATCAGTAGTGTTAGTAGTGGGAGCAATATTAGGAACAAAATAACAGAAGGTTGTTGAGTGGAGATAATGGAGGAAGTGGCATTAGACCCGGTCTTCCTTAACATTAGGCACTTTAAATTGCTCAATCAGTACAAGATAGCACAAAGGTTTTGGCATCAGTATGCACTAGAAAATTGCAATAACTCTTTGATTATTTTACCATATCTATGTCCTGACTATTTATCTGACACTTATATTCCACGTTACCTTCTTGCACTACAATGCTCCATGTGGTGCCTGGTTTTGGCAAATATTTGAAAATTTTGTGTTGGCACATCTTGCTGGTGTTGTGGCGACTCACTTGTGCAGCAGTTTATTTATTTTCTTTCCACTATTTGGGTTACTGTGTATCTCGATCTTGATGTCCGAAAAAGATGAGTTTACAGGAGAATTTGTTAGTTTCACTAACCTGTATCAGTTCTGCAGCATTTCATTCTCAGGAGTCCTAAGGCTCGAGCACAATTAGGTCTACCACAGAAAGAGTCTCCAGCTGCTGCTGCAAATTCCACACTCGTGGCTGCACCAGAAACCCCATCCTTGGAACCACCAATGTGGCAAAAAGTCATTCCTGCAAATTTATCCCCTGTGGAACTCCTTGCAGTGAGTGATAATGAATTTGAGATACCAATATAGTTGGTCACTTTCTTATACTTCAACTATGCTACTTTTGACAGATTTCTGTCAAACTCATATCTGGTGGGCATACTGGAAGGGCAATTCCTTTGTTAAGGTGACTCTATCTTGCTGTTTCTTCCCATTTTATTCAACTTGCTGGATGCTCATTATGAAGCTTGTTCGCCTCATTATTAATTTTTTGTAGAGAGGCACTTGTAAAGGATCCTGACTGCATAAGAGCTTTGGCTGTTTTGGGGCAGACTCTTCTGCAGAAAGGAGAGTATGCAGAGGCTGCTCAACATTTAGAGCGTGTTATCTCCAAGGTTTTCAAAACCTTATTATTCACTTCACCCCCCACCCCCAATATAGTCGCTCATTTCTTATGAGGTTTTAAATGAACCTTTACTTCCACTTAACTAGTTGCTTTAATTTGCACCTTGAACAATCTCTCTGGCGGTAGCTTTGCTTTTATACTTCCAGGACTAAGGTTTTAATGAACTGAAACTGCTTTGGGTCTTCTTTCAGATTCTTGCTACTGGGATTCCAACAGAAGGCGAAGAGGTTGATATCTTTATTCTTGCTTCTCAGTGGGCTGGAATTGCCAACATAGAGCAGGTCAGAACTCCCAACATGTCTTATTTTCTTCCTTTTTGTCATTAATTACTAAAACAGACGAAACAAGCAGGGGTTACTTCATATGGCAAATACTTTTATTTTTGGGTAGAAATTTGGCATACTTACTGTTTCGGTTAGTGACTTTAGTTTTCACGGAAGCAAAAGAAAGACAGGAGATGATGAGAACTTGACTAGGGAATAGGACAGGAGAGAGACAAAGAAAGAGCTCCGAGAAGATTCAACGATCTGAAATTCTTATTCATTACCCTGCATGAGTTGCTTATGGACAGTTACCAGAGAATAGGTCAAAGCAAATAAGCTCTATTTTTTTTTTTTGGTAAATACAAATAAGCTCTATTGACGTAATTGAATAATCATGTATAGACTTTTTTGCAACTCTCGTCAACTTCTGTTATAGAGGTTAACTTTGGGATAAAAACTTTATGGTAAGCCGATAATCAAAACCATTCCTGTGATCCTGTCCATCTAAGGGAGTTTCTTGAATTTGGATTTAGAAAGTACATCTGAATGGATATGCATGCGAAATGACGGCCTAGAAATTTGTTACTTACCACTTTTGGATCCATACTTGGCCAGGGGAAGCATGCAGAAGGACTAGTTCATCTGGAAAGAGTTGCAAATATGAAAGAGCCCGTGGAACCGAAGAGCAAAGTCCATTATTTTGATGGCCTGATCATACTTGCCAGGTATGGATTCAGACTGTGTATAGATTATACAAATGTGCCCTAGCTTAGCTTATGCACCGGCTATCTGCTCACTGTATCTTTCATCTGCATTACGTTTGCCTGATTTTTTCAGTGCATTATACGACAAAGGCAGCAAAGCTGAAGCTCTAACCTATGCTCGTTTAGCCGCGGCTTATAATCCTGCAAAATACAACAAGTTCCTGGAGATGTGTGAAAACAAAGAAGATAATTTTGTCATTGACCTAGTCAGCAGTCGGAGGCGAGATTATTGAAACTTAGCATAACCTGAACCACACTTGAAACTTAGCATAACCTGAACCACACTTCAAACACCACAGCATAGGCAGAGCAATTAGGTTAGATTGAAGAACTCTCAAATAGTTACAAATAAAAGAGGGAAAATTGTGGCAGGGAGGCATAATTGTGTCTGATAAATTTTGCTGCTTGCATAATTGATTTTGGTTGGAACAGCCAAGTTTTTTTTAGGTCTGGACAGGGTTTGGAGTTTGGACTCCTAGCTAGTAGCTAGGCGCCTTTGGAGGACATCCATCGTTAGCAGTAAACACCTGTCTTTCTTTCTTTCTTTCTTTCTTTCACCCAGGCATATTGCCCATCCTACCAGAGAGGCAAACAAGGCAATGGCATGCAATCTCGAAGAAAGCCTTTGAACTTACGGAACCCCGAAACCTACAATAAGTCCCTCCATTTTTTAGTTATTCAGAAGCAACTGAATACATTTATGTGTCTTGTTATTAGCAACTTAAAAGATTCATTCATTATTATTCCCCTATTCAATGGAATGAGTTAAAGTAAGTAGTAATTGTTTTATGGCAAGGAAAACTCTTGTGTTTGGTTTCAATCAATGCATTTTTTACTTTTTGAACAATGACAATAACATGGTTTATATTTCTCCGATTCGAACAAGGGTGTTTGATTTGTTTTTTATAATTTTTTTTAGCACAATCTAAGTTATGTTACTCTATTCTTATAGAGGTTCAGTGAGAGCTCCAAAAACTATAAAAGATATGGCTAATTTGTAGAGAAAATATAAAGTTTGACATGTGTGTCAAATGTTTGGTTGTTAAACCCTTTTCAGTCTTCGTTTCTCCTATTTATAGCTATCAGGGGTAACCGCTAGCTGACCTACTACTCTATTCGCCTTGAGGTTCTCATCGTCGCCTTGGTGACAGTTGGTGTCAGCTTGATGGCCTTTCACCTTGTCTTGGCCGGATGGGGTTGAGGTCTCCTCACCTTGTCTCCATCACATTAATGATTCCACACTTAGCTCATTTGTTGTCAATTTAGTACCATCTTGACAACCTTAATGATTCCACACTTAGCTCATTTGTTGTCAATTTAGTACCATCTTCGTCTTGTTAGCTAGGTCTTGTCACCCATCTTGATGGAATGAGAACTTAACCCCTTCACCAAGACTTCGATTATTGTCAATTTAGTACCATCTTCGTCTTGTTAGCTTGGTCTTGTCACCCATCTTGATGGAATGAGAACTTAACCCCTTCACCAAGACTTCGATTATCGAATCCATGGAGGCAATCGACCACTAGGTCGGGAAGAGGGAGTTTTTGTCACTTAGGCCCAAAACCCCGACTTAATAAGGCCTAACTAGGTGAGATTAATTTTTTAAAATTAATAAGGCCCAAAACCCCGACTTAATAATGTTTAATATTTACTTGAACTTGCACTTATAAAGTCATGTAATCTTTTAAAATTAATCGATGTTGTATGAGATTAATTTTTAGGTGTAAATACTAATAAAATAATTGTCGTTATAAGACACCAATTCTCTAACAATTTTTTAACGGTCCAATACCGGTTGCACCAATAAAGTGCGAGCCGTTCACATTAGCATATCTTGCTCCGGTTCGATTTTGACAACATTGCCCCTGCCATACTCCCGCCGTCGCTGTCGCTTCCATTGTTGGGCTTCCTTCCCACAGGACCGGAAATCTCGCATGCCGGTATCAATTCCCAGCGAATTAGAGTTCCAATATTTCTCTTGCCTCCCTGTTCTTCCAATCCCTGATCTAGCCAGAGACTCTCTTTGAATTTTTTGCTGATATTGGGGGTACTCGGATGAGAATCGATTTGAATGAAAAGGAGAGAGATAATAACAGGCGAAGCTCAGAGCTTTATTGGAACTCTAGAAGAAGAATCCATGGAATGACACAAAAACAGCAACAGCGGGAAGAATAAATGAAACCCACAAGGGTAAATTTCAAAGCAACCGCCTACTGCCATACTTATGGAAGTGAACCAGAGAGACAGGGAGAGAAGCACCTTAGCTCTAGGAATGGCAATGGGGCAGGTTCGGGGCGGGTTTCTTGGTACCCAGGCCCCGTGGCAGGTCGGGTCCAGGTCGGGTAATTGATCATGGGTCGCGGGTTGAGGCAGGTCGATCCAATGGGTATGCAATTTATATGAAAAACATTAGAAATATTCGTTATTTTTATTATAAGACTAAGAAAACAAACAATATTATGACAATTGTAGTTAAATTATTGGAGAAATTGAAGTTGTTACTAATTTACAACTTTATTATAGCTAAAATATGATGCAATAAAAGGAAAATTCTAAGTAATTTGACTAAGATTACATGTAATTTAGACAAGAACGGGTCGAGAATGGGGCGGGTCAGGGCAGGTCGGGTCGATGAGACTACCCATGCCCGCCCCAAAACAGGTCAAACAGGTCGGGTAAAACGGGTCAGGTTGAAATTGCCATCCCTACTTACCTCACATGAAGCCAATCAATAGTCATCAACATCTAGCTGCCCACCATCGATCATGGCTTCATATCAGAGTAAAAAAGCACCAGCAGGAGCAACGACGTCGTCTTCATCACCCGGCGCCCCACGCCAACCGTCGGATCATCAGGTGGTGGTGAAGTGCCCTCGTTGCGACTCTCCCAATCCGTCGGGAATCGATTTTACCGATGAGCCTTTCTTCCGACATGCGAGATTTTCGGTCCTGTGGGAAGGTAGCCCAACAATGGAATCGACAGCGACAGCGGGGTATGTTTCCGGCGGGGGTATTGGTATTGGGGATTAGAAGAAATTAGGGTTTTTTATTTATTTTAAATAAAAGTGATAATAAGGTGGAAATGAGATGGCAATTTTGAAAATTTTTATTTTATTTAAATTGTCACATCACACATTTAACGGTCACCTTTTAGAGTTGACTGTCACGTAAGCAAAAGCTAACGAGTTGGACGGAGAGTGACCAAACGTGAACGGTTTCAGTAAACTGAAGTACCACCTATGGATTTAAATATTTCGAGTGACCAAACTTGAACATTTTTTGGAATCTCTATGACCAACCATGCAATTAACCCTTTATTCTTCCTTTGGTTTCTCGCAACCTATTGTTCCTATTTCTCATATTTCTAATGCTGCTCTCCCATGCTCCTGAAGAAGCCTTCTACCCACCGATGGCTCAAGCTCCGGTCGAATTTCAATTTTAGCAACCACGACTCAATCCCCTTTGAGTGCCGCCTCGAGGATCACCGGTGGGAGCATCACTATATCTCCAAAATATAGTGGAACTTGGTATTGGGGACCTGTTGCTTGAGTGATATTGTTTTTTTCGTATTGATATGTATTTATCGTATTGTATTTATTTTTTCGTAGTTATTTATTTTCATGTAATGGTGTTGCTTTTTTGTATTGATTTTGTCGTAGTGGTATTGATCTTATCATATGGTATTGATCTTCATGTAATAATATTAGATTTGTTGATCTGCAATAGTATTGGTTAATATGTACTGGTATTGAATAAGTCTGTACTGGTATTGGTTAATATTGTATGGTATTGTTTATGTGTAATGGTATTTTTTTAGTTAGTATTTTTTTATGATTTGGTAGTGATTACTTATTTTTTATTTTTTATTTTTGTAGTGGTATTAGTTTGTTTGTCGGAGACAAAGAATAATCAAGATTGACAAAAAGGTGACCGGAGAAGAAAAAATGGTTGCATAACTAATGAAGTGAAAGAAAGTGAGGAATAGTAACAGAAGAAAAAAGAGTTTGTTCTTCATCTCCAAGCTTACAACATGGACCAATGGGAAGCAGGCTGGTGGTCAGGGAGCTGGGACTGGTTTGAGTGGTTATGGAGGTGGAAATGGCATTGGGCGTGGGTTTTATCCTAAAGGTAAGGGCAGGGGTGGCCAGGGTCACTCCAGGGGGTATGGCAGAGGGCAGCCAGGCTATGATCACTCCTTCTACAAGCAGTCGCAGAGGTGAAGAACTAGGGGTAGTGTTCGGGCACAAGGGAGCAACTCGAAACAGGGAGGCTGGAGTGAAACACCAGCTGAAAAGCGGGACTGGGAGACCCCAAAGTCGCCAAACAAATGAGCCAGGTCTGCAACTGGCAGTAGGTGATGCGAAGCTGAAGGGGAAGGAGGTATTCTGAATGGCAGCTCCTGATTCGGGGGAGATTGACGAGAGGAAGAGAGCTTCAGGAGAGGTGGATGGTTTGTAGTTTGATCCCACTCCTGTGAAGACAAAATGTATCGAATCTAGGGAAACCAGCCATGAGTGGTCACAAACTGCTAAATGAGGATGATTGGTTAGAACGTAAGGGGTATCTGGCCATCCCTTACGTTCTGTTCTTTGTTAGGTCAGTGTCGGTCGAATAAGCCTGAGATCGTCTTTCTTTCGGAAACGAAATCTTGCAGGCGCGTAGTTACTCGGAGGTTGCGGGGATTAGATTTTCAGAATTTTTTTCTTTTAGATGCTGTGAATGCATAGGGTGGGCTTGCCTTAGCTTGGGATATGGGAGTTGAACTTCATGTGTTAGAGCAATATGAATTTTTTGTGTCATTTGGTATTGGTAATGAAATTGGTCAATTTTGATTATGTGGGTGTTTGTGTTTACCTTTCCACTTACGCGAATGTGAGGGAAAAACAGGCGGGTTTCCTTAGGTCCTATCATGTGCAATTAAATGCTCCATACATGGTGATGGGTGATATGAATTGTGTAATGGAGGCATCAGAAAAATTGGGTGGCCTACCGTAGCACCCCAATGGGGCGACAGGGGTTCTTGATTTAATAAATGATCTTGCGTTACATGATATAAGGTTTTTGGGTCCGCAGTTTACTTGGTCGAATCGATAAATGGGGGCGCCGTGTATAATAGAGAGACTAGACCGGGTTTTGGTGTCTCCTTTGTGGGCGAAGAAGTTTCCGGCTTTCCGCTGATATTGGTAAAACATTATATTGATCTGGGTTCAGACCATACGACGATGCTCGTGGTAGACAAACCTTTTGCACGACATTCCAAGCCCTTGTTTCGCTTTGATTCGCGGTGGGCTGAGAATCTGGAGACGCGATTACTGGTCAGTTATGTTTTTCCAAACATATACTGGTTCACCGATGTTTTGTCTATGGCAACGGTTGAAGGTTCTTCAACATTAGTTATATGATTGGAGCCGGGCTGGTACGAGTAATTCGGCGAGAAATATTCGGATACTGCAAACAGAGATAGAAGCATTGAAGGGTGAAGTAGATGTGGAATGGGGGCGCATTGGTGGGTTGGAGAGTGAGTTGTTTAAGCAATAGGCGGCGGAGGAGGAGTATTGGAGGCAGAAATTGAGGGTTAGATGGTTGGATAAAGGAGATAAAAATACTTCCTATTTTCATACAGTCACCCGAGCACAGAACATGGAAAACTTTATTGAAGGATTACTGAATAAGAATGGTGAATGGGTGATGGAGGAAGGCCAGAAGGGAGTGGTGGCGGGAGACTTTTATGAGGAACTCTTTCGATCGGAGAGACAATTGTCGGATATGACTGGTAAGGTGGTGAGGCTGCCTATCCGGGAGCTTGTGAGAGAGACGATGAATAGAGAATTAATGGCCGAGGTTTCTGCTGCTTAGATAAGACGAGTCGTGTTCTCTATTGGGGCTACCAAACCCCGGGCTCTGATGGTTACACTGGTCAATTATATCGGGCATACTGGGATATTGTAGGAGGTAATGTGGTGGAAGCGGTACAGTCTTTTTTCCGATCAGGTCGGCTGTTGAAAAGATTCAATCACACCTGGCTGACTTTGGTCCCTAAAGTGGATGCAGTCGAGTCTATGAAGAAGATTAGAACAATCAGTTTGTGTCAGCCTTTTTACAAGATTATATCTAAAATCAAGGCAGAGAGGATGGCTATCATTTTGCCTTCTATTATCTCAACGGAGCATAATTGGTTCATTCGTGGTCGCCAGATTGTGGACAATGTACTGATTGGGCGTGATGTTATGCATTATCTCAAATTCAAAAAGAGAGGGATGAAAGGTTACTTGCCTCTGAAGGTTGATATGAAAAAGGCCTATGATAGAGTCGAGTGGGATTTCATGTTTGCAATTATGGCAAATATGGGATTTTGTAGCCAATGGGTTGGCTGGGTACAGGAATGCATCTCTACGACGTCATTCTCTGTGATGATGAATGGTACCGATGGGATATTTTCGGTCGACGCGGGGATTGCGTCAAGGGGATCTGTTGTCTCCTCTTCTTTTTGCCATTTGTTCTGGGGGGTTAGCAGCTCTCTTACGCCAGGTTATACAGGAGAAAAGATTAGTCGAGGTCAAAGTTAGCCCATGTTGTCCTAGTGTTTCCCATTTGCTCTTTGCGGGCGACTCTTACTTGTTCTCAAGGGCTTCTAAGGTGGAGTGTGAGACATTGCTAAAGTTGTTGCAGGACTATCAGGAGCTAACTGGACAGAAGGTGAATTTAGCCAAGTCTGCGGTATGTTTTAGTGGTAATGTGGACACTCCGGATGTGGAGGAAATGGCGGTCATCCTTGGCGTGGGGGCGATTGGAGTCCAGGATAAGTATCTGGGGCTTCCATCCTTGGTTAAACGTTCTAAGGAGGAGACCTTCAGGCATTTGGAGGAGCAACTATTGGCTAAACTTCAGGAGTGGAAGCGGAAACAATTGTCGTGGGCGGCGAAATATGTTCTTCTCAAAGCAGTGGCTTCTGCCCTCCCGATTTATGTTATGTCTTGTTTCTTCTTACCGGTGACATTATGTCGTAAGCTGGATAGGTACATGGCTCGATTTTGGTGGGGTATTCAGTGGAAAAAGACAAGGCTCACTGGGTCTTGTTGGCTAAGGTTGCCTGGAGAATTTGGAAGGAGCCTGAGTCGCTTCTGGCACGTGTTCATAAGGGTAAGTATTTTTCCAGGACGTCAATCTTTAAAGCTGGTAATGGGTCTAGACTGTCCTGGGGATAGACGAGTGTCTTGCATGGGAGGGACCTTTTGTGTCAGGGACTCACGTGGCAGATAGGGAAGGGAATGGAGGTTCGCATATTGGAGGATAGTTGGATCCCAGGATTCCGGTCGGAGGACCTCGTTCTTCGACCGACGGCGTCGGCATTTCCGGATATGATGGTGGAATCGTTAATAGTTTCGGGTACGGGAAGGTGGTGCCTCGACTGTCTTGAGCAGTGTTTCCCGAGGGAGACAGTACATGCCATCCAATCGATCCCGTTACCCAAGGGCCACATGGAAGATAGTCGTGTCTGGGCATGGGAGGGTGATGGGGTGTGCACGGTGAGATCTGGGTATCATCTGACTTTTCAGTTAAGTAGGAGGTTGCCGGGCTGGAAGGATGAGGTCTCCTTTTTTTATACGACATTTTGGAAGAGGGTGTGGAACTTTCCCATTTCTCCTAAGTTAAAATTCTTTGTGTGGCAGATCATGAAGCGAGTTCTGCCTACTGCGGAGGCTATTATTGAGAAGAGTGGCAAAGTGTCGGATGATCTAGGAGAGTCTGGTGTTGATGATCCCGCGGTTTCTCCTCATTGCCCAGTGTGTTCGGAGCCTTTAGAAACAAAGGAGCACATGTTCTTGTCTTGCCGGGTTGCGGTGGCCCTGCGGAATTGTTCGGGTATCGATACTGGGGGAATAGTGAATTCCTCACTGAATTTTTCTCTAGTCTTTCGACATTTTTTTGAGCAAGATGCTGGCCCTGAGCATCTTGTGCGGTTTATTGCATTACTTTGGAGGATATGGAAGACTAGGAACTGGGTGGTCTTTGATCATGTGCAGTATGATATGAGGAGGTTATTACGACAGTATGAAGATCAAGTTTGCGAATGGATAGCGTACCTGCAGCCGGGGCAAGGGCGGATGGGGAAGGGACGGCAGGTATAGGAGGCTGGTGGTAGGGGGACACACCCTCCCCGAGTAGCACTCCTTGCCATTTTCCTGCTATGTGGATGGGGCAGTGTTGGATGGGTTGCATGGTGCTGGGGTCTGGTAGTTCGTGATGTGATGGGGAATATCCGGTATGTCAAAGGTTTTCATTATGCAGGGCTCGTGGATAATTTTCTGGTGGAGTTGGTAGCTTTCCGGGATGCAATTCAGTGGTGCTCTTTGAAGGGTCTAACTAAGGTAATGTTTTGCGGGGATGCGAAGACGGTCATTGATAAAATTCAGAAGATGGATGTCCTAGATGTGAAGGGTGGATGGATTTTGGTGGAGATTTCAAGCCTTAGACAGCAGTATCGAAATTTTGGAATTTCGTTTGTTGGCAGGAGTAACAACTCGGTGGCTCTTAATGTTGCCAGGAAGACCCTTTCTTTGTTGCCTGCAATTGGAGATAATTTTAATTTTTCTTAGTGGTTTGTATTTGGGTTGTAAACTTTGCTATCTTTTTGCCTTGGTAATACAAGTGATCTATTGGTAAAAAAAAAAAAAAACGTGGACCAGAAGTAAGAGTCTCCTCAGCCACAGCAAACACCATTGTTTCATCTCGAAATGAATCCACATCCAGGACACGTGTCTAGCTGCCATTAGTGAAGAATGCACTAATAAGACAGGTCGCTCTCTAACGGTCGATGGCGACCAGTTTCACTGTTTTGTCTTCTTTCTTTTTCAATGTTTCATTTCACCCAGTACAGCTGGATTGTAATTGTTGAGACTATATATGAATCAATGAGAATAAGAGTAGATGTAAGTTCAATCCTCAAAACCCTAGAACAACCAAAACGTTGTTATGGTATTAGAGCCGGGTTAGGGGGCTCTCACCCTTTTCCTTGATCACCCTCATCTTCATCCTTCTTCTTTGTTCTTCGTTCTTCTTCTACTTCCTTCTTATTCATTCAATCTGTGAGTTCTAGCAATAATCGTCAACAATTGCGGAAGGTACTGGAAAAGAGATCTCCGACAGCAGAACCAAATCTGTTACAGGCTACCCACTTGCAGATCCATACTACCTTCATGGGTCTGAGCAGCCTGGTCAGATTCTCGTGTCACTGAAGCTTACTCTGCACAATTACAATGATTGAAGTGCAACAATGATTGATGCACTCACCTCGAAGAACAAACTAGGTTTCATAGACGGAAGCATCCCTAAGCCTGTAGCAAAAGATGTGATGGCCTGGCCCTAGACGAGTTGCAATACGATGGTCA